AAAAACTTCAACTAGCTATGTTCTGAAAACAAATTAGCATACTGAACAGCTCTAATATATATATATATATATATATATATATATATATATATATATATATATATATATATATATATATATATATATATATATATATATATATATATATATATATATATATGTACTTTAACTCATAATAAAACATACTTTGAGGATTAGTGTAAGTTCTTGTTCTAATAAAACTTTGTTGGTCTTCTGAAGTATTGCTATCTGAACTTTCAATTTCATCGACTGTTAACTTTTTAGATTGTGGTGGTTTTGGTGTAAACTTTACATGTGAAACTTTTGAATCTTCTAAACTTTCTCCAGCAAAACCACTATCATAATCATCATAACACGGAGAGCCATGGTGATGGAAGTAATTTACTGAAATTAAGACATTAAAAATTTTTTACAACATAATTATAAGCTCAAACTTTAATCTTTTTATGTTTTCTCAAGGTATCTGATAAAGAATGTTGAAGAACAAAGAGTCCTCAGATACATAAAGAGATGTGGCGGTGGAAGAAGCATAGTGGTGGTAGTGGTGGTATGCAGAAGTTGGTGAAGTTATAGAAAAAAAGAGGAAATGTTTTCAAAAACAGAAAAAGAATTATAGCAAACAAGACAGGCTTATGTGCTACTTGACTATGCACAAAGCAAAACAAATCATTTAAAAAACCTAATCTTATGAGCAGAAGGTAATGGATGAGATGATTCAGAGGACAGAAAAAATACATTGTTAGAAAAGGCTGTTTTAAAGGTCTAGTTGAAAAAATACTTAGAAATGAAGTTGAGGTAAAACAAGATGGCTTATTTTAAGTTTAATTGTAATAAAGTTTATGTGAATAAGTAAATAAGGTTAGTAGACCAGCCAGTAGATAACCTGTAGTGAAGTGAAATCAACTATTCATAAGGCTAACTTAAGCTGGTCCTTCTGGTTTATTGGCTGAGATATTAGGGTCTTTAGGGGATGTGGTTGTCAAATCTATGTGATGCTATTCTTTATAAAGGTGTTGAAAGAAAAGAATGGAAGCAAAAAAGCTTAGAATAAACATGAATAAAGCAAAAGTTAATTATTGCAAAGTGAAAATGACCAAGTAAAAAATACTAGAAAGTGTCCGTGTTGAAAAAGAGTTAGAACCAATCATTGTTTTTATAGTTTGTGAGTAATGGGTTCACAGCAGTGAACCAATTACTCAAGGTGATATACAAGGTGTTCTTAATATTGCTGGTTTTGAGTATATAAAATCTACTGAAATAAAATTAGAAAGAAGAAAGAAATTAAGAAAGAGATAAAAAACAGTGAGTATGAGTATGACGAATCAGTGAGTGATTGAGTATGTTGGTAAGTATTGTTACCTTGAATATACAATTGGATTCAGTGGTGGATTAGAAAAGGCATCAAAAACAAGGGTAAAGTGTGCCTCAGCCAAGTTTAGAGAATTGTCTCTACTTTTCAAAGCAAGAGTTACATTTTTAAAGATTAAAGGAAAGTTGTACATCACATGGGTTCAGAGTGTTATGATGTATAGAAATAAAACATGGGGAATAAAAGTTGATTATGTCCCAAACCTTGAAAGAACAGAGAAGACAATGATCTAATGGATTTGTGAAGTAGCTATAAAGGACAGTTCATATTAACTCTAAAGATCAGATTTAAGAGAAAAGGCTAGAGGTAGAGGTTGGTAAACTCGGAGAAAGTTACAGATTAAATACATTTTAAATTACATAAAAAAAGTTTTAGTCAAGGAAAAAGATGCTTGAGGTTGTGTGTATGCATAAATATATATATATATATATATATATATATATATATATATATATATATATATATATATATATATATATATATATATACAGTAGCTTTCATAAATTTAGACGCATTCATTTTTTTTTTCATATATGTAAGAAAATACTCAAAATAAAAATAAAATAAAAGTGCTACCGCTATGTTTGATATATAATTTAAAAGAGGAAATGAAACTCTATTATAGAGTACCATAATTTTTTTTACAGGATGTTTATTACTCATTTTATACCGATTAACACAAAAAAGTTAATTGATAAACTTGATTTTATTTTGTTCATAAATTTAGACGCGCAATTAAAAAAGTCTTATATCTTGTTAATTGATAGTTAATTAGTAGTTTTTTTCTCATATTTCTCATTAATAGGCCTAAATTAATTGATTTTGTCAAAAAACCTTATATAAATATGACTTACCTGGGATTAGTTAATCATTATTTAATAAATAAACAAAAGTTAAGTTAGTTTTGCACTAAAAAGACGCGAAAAATGGGCAAAAGACGTATCACTCAAGGTGAAAGATGGCAAATTATAATGCGCACATCAAAGAAGGGACCAAAAGTAATAAAAAAATCGCTAAGTTAATTGGAGTTTCTGAGAAATGCGTTCGGACAACGAAACAAAACTTTCTTCACACTGGTGGTGCCAGCGAGAAAACGAGGCCAGATAGACCTTTGTCAACCACGAGAAAAAACGATAGTGTTCTTTTTAGAGCTGTCAGAGCTAATCTAAGAATTAGTTACAAAGAATTGACCACAGAGTTCAATACAACGCGAAATACATCTATTTCTCAAAGCACAGTCCGCCGAATACTTATCAAATACAAGATTGGAGTCTACACTGCTTTGAAGAAACCGCTTCTGGGTCCATATGATAAACAAAGGAGACTAAAATGGTGACGTGAAAGAAAGTATTAGACAATAGATCAATGGGAAAACATTATGTGGAGTGATGAGAGTAACTTTGAGCTTATCAATCGCAAATCTAACATAACAGTCAAAAGAATGGCTCACAAAAAGTATTACGCCAGGTACATTAGACCAACTGTACAAAGTGGAGGAGGCTCGATAGGAATCTGGTCATGCTTCAATTACAAAGATGTTGGTATGTGCCAAACATACACCGGAAGAATCAACTCCAGAATGTACGTAGAAGTACTGGAAAACAACCTAATTCCATCAATTGACCTGCTTATGCTCAATGATAAACCATTGAAACTTCAACAAGATAGCGCTACTGCACATACTGCATACTATACAAAGGAGTGGTTCAACGATAATAATATTATGACAATACCGTGGCCTCCATATTCATCTGATTTGAACCCGATTGAAAACATTTGGGCTTGGATTGATCGTGAATTAGCAAAGGTTCAAATTTCCACACTTGATCAGATGAAGGAATTCCTTAAGGAGACCTGGTATGGGGTCCCAGAAGCGATGTGCAAAAATCTTGTTGAGTCTATGCCTAGAAGAGTTCTTAGTTGTATTAAAGCAAAAGGCGGATACACAAAATATTGATTGGTTCATAAATTACGCCTTCTAATGTATCGTGCGTCTAAATTTATGAATAATTTTTTTTGTCTAATCTTTTTAATACCATGTAGTTGTACCTAATTATTACTTAGTATTTCATTTTTTTTGTTAACTTTTTTTAAATTTTGTATTCTGTATGTATTTATCTGATAAATAGAAAAAAAACTAAACCGAAATCTTTTTTCGACATTGTTTTTATCGTTAAAATACCTAAAAATTTCTATTCTCAAATATGAGTGCGTCTAAATTTATGAAAACCACTGTATATATATATATATATATATATATATATATATATATATATATATATATATATATATATTTATATATATATATATATATATATATATATATATATATATATATATATATATATATATATATATATATATATATATATATATATATATATATATATATATATATATATATATATATATATATATATATATATATAACATCTTTGCTTCCAAAAAGGCTGAAAAAGAAAAGAGAAAAGGCATCATTAGAAGATCTGCCCCAGATATGGCAACAGTATTCAATACAAGACCGGATTTGAGATTTATAGAGATAGAGAATAGAATCTGGAGTAAGAAAGTGTCAAGCACGATAAAGAGATGCAACCTTAGTGAATGCTGATTTTGCAACGGATTTGATATATGATATATATTAAAAAAATTATGATCAACGCAGCAGGAGATACAGAGATATGGAGATATGGAGAACTTCAAGAATATTTTCTAACATTAAAAATTAAATTTATGCTGATGAAGTGCAATAATCAAAATCTCAAAAAAAATATCAAAGATGATATTTATTGAAAAAAACTTTTTGCAATGTTTTAGTAGTTATCTACAGTTTTTTTACAATCAATAAAATTTTACAAAAGAAAAAAAAATCAAAATATTAGAATGCACTCAGAGTTTAAAAAATCTCAAATAACTTACCAGGTTCTTCATAAATATTGAGGCTGTTTAACAAAGCTTTACTTTCTTTAAGTTGTGCTTCTGATAAAATAAAAAAACATCTTTTTTTTTTCTTTTTTTTTTTTTTTGCCAATAGAATATTTAATTCTATGTACTCTCTTTAAATATAATCCAATCAATTAAATTAAAAATAAATTTAATCTAAAAAGTTTTCTAAGTTTAAAAATTTTATAGATCAATTCATTAAGAAACAGTTACAAGAATATACTACAGCCTTAGAGAGTAACTTTCAAAAAAAACTATTCCTGTAACACTATGAACATATATGACACATATATTAACATATTTGACAAAGAGCACTAAAAATATTAGAAAGATTATGTGAAAAAAAATTATCATAACAATTATCATAACATGATCAACATTGTTTAAGACAATCATTGCATAAAGATAAAAAATCAATAAAATATAAATAAATTCATAAACATATTTTTACTATTAAAAATTTATCTGAAAAAAATGTTTAAAGACTTTAGACCCCTTGTATTACAAAAAAGAACAAGAAAATTTAAATATGTATTAATAAATAAATAAATTGAATGAATAAATACCTATTTTCTCACTCAACTCTTCTCTTGTAAGAATCTTTTTATTATGCTTACCAGATAGAAACTTATTTCCTGTTATTTCATGTGACATTTTACAATGTCTTTTTACTGTAGGTAAAACAACCTTTTTAGTTATTGAATGTGAACTATTTAACAAAATAGAGTTTACACATTCCAAATATATTTTCTCATTAATAGGAAAAACAGATGTCATTGGGATTGTTTTAATATTTCCATCAAACATTTCAACTCTTAGCATATTTAATGACACAAGTTTGTCAGTAGATTCTAAAAATAAAAGCATTTTAATATTTTTATAAACTTTTTTTCAACTTTTAAAATATTGAAGAACACAAATCTTGTGTTGTTCTGCGTTTTATTTTTTGTTATTATTTAACATAACAACAAGTTTTATATTTAATAATAACACAAGTTTTATATTTAATAACACAAATTTTTCAGTAATCTTAAAACAATAAAAAAAAATTTTTTTAAGTGAAAAAGAATTTTAAAAAGAATATTATAGCAAAAATTATAATTTTTTTAATATTTAATTGTTTTAGTTCTAAATATGATACCATGTTTATTTTCTCGAACTGTTCCAGGCACATATTTTTTCTTTGAATCAAAATTAACAAGTACTCGATCACCGATATATGCCTTAAGCTTCTTTATGTTATCATAAAGTAAAATTTCAGAAAGACCAATTGATTCATACTGTAATGCTTTCTTTGAAGGAAGAAAAGAGACAAGAACTTCATCTACATCTGGGTACTAAAAAAAATATATAATATATTTAAATACATGATACATAAATTAAAAAACAATAATTATAATCCATTTTATATAACCTCAAATGTGAGATAATCAGATATCAATTGTTTAAACAAAACTTTTAACAATGTTAATTAATCAGTTTAAGTAGCATAAGTTTAAGTAAAAGTTAAAAAAATTAAAGTTCATTTTTTGATTGTTTTTAATTTAGAGTTCTTAATCAGTTATGAAATGTTGAAAAATACAAATTTAATTATACATTGTTATTTAAATATATAACATTTTAATTTTTAGGATTTTTCTTTAAAAAAGAAAAAATTTATACAAAAAAATAATTTTATGCATAAGTTTTTATTATACAAATTAAAATTATAAACTCTTACTGATCTTATGACTATTCCCTTGTAAAAATAACCATCATGAACTCTTTTTGCAAGAACAGTCATGCCAACTATATTGTATCTATCTCCAATGTTTAAAACTTTTTCATCATCTGAAGAGACTTCATTTTCTTCATCATCTGAAGTTTCTGAGCAACTAGATAGGGAATCATAACAATAAGTTATAATTTCTTTACACGGAGGAAAATTTTGTTTATGCTCAAGGGCATTATTAAATTGTGTGAGGGTATGTGAAGACCCATTTGTAGAAACAGAAAGAGAAAGGAGGAATTCTTCAACCTTTGGATCAACATACCCATTATTAATATAAATGGAATTGATTGGTCTAGATTCAGAAAGTTCATTTACAAATTTTAAAACAACTGAAGGTCTTTGATTTGGTAAACTATCCGTAAACAAAACTAATGAATCACAATACTGCTCACTAAATGCTGCAACAAGACCTGATAACATGTTTGTTGCATTTTCACATATTAAAGAAGAAATCCAGCTGTAGGCAGAGTTCAGATTTTCTTCTGTACACGATTCCATTTTATTAGAATAGGAAGTTATCAACTTTGAAAAAGAAATTATGTTAAATTTTGAATTATTTCTCATTGAGATCAGTTTAATTAATTCTTTTACCGCTTGTTTAATAACTTCGATAACTTCATACATCGATCCAGAAGTGTCAATAAGTATCATAACATGCTTTCCATGGATACTTTTTTCAATTTTTTCGACTGCTTTTTTTAATAACTCCATATCTTATTTGTTCTATAAAAACTCTAGAAAAACTATATCAATGGTATAAATGTTTAAACTTTTTTTATATAAAATTATAGATGCATAATAATTGTTCCTAAACAAACATGCGATATAATCCGTTAATTTAATTTTGTTTTTAAATATTTCTACTCAGTTCATTTCGCTAAATGGTTTGTATTACCATAGAAATAATATACAGTTGTATTTAATGAATATTTTATTAATGGAGTCATGAATAAATAATAACGAAAGATAAACAGTGAAATGTATTTAAGGTTGCCATGGGCAAGCATGGAAAACGAGTGGAAGAAGTACAATGTTGATTTATTTGTGAACATGTATTTACACTGTACTGTAATACAAATTTCGAAATATTTTTAAATAGTGGTGTCTCCTAAAATCGTAGAATCCGGTTTACTTATAAATACCACAGAGGTATTTGTAAAGGGTTAGAATTTCAAAATAAAAATTTTTTGGTCATAGTTTGTTAATTATTTTTTTTAAGTTTCAGGCGTGTTCGTAGCGTTTATAAGTTATAAGCCGGACCATACACTTTAAGGAGTCACCACTTATTTCAATTTAAGAATTCTCAAAAGTAGCTTTTACGTTCGAGATTACTATAAATAACGCACTAAAAATATTTGATACCGAAAGGGATGATTTCGTACCGTATAATATCGTTTTTATAATAATATTGATACCATCAGTATTGATGTGATACCACATGTTGTTAGGTATAAAAAGAAACATATGGCATAGTATCATGCATAGTATGATTTGATATCGAGAAGCAAAAAAATAAAATCTGAGTTTTTGAAATTATTATGACCAAAGTTGGTATACAAACTCAGTTATTATATAAATTTACTTTTTAAAACTACTAATCTTTTATAAAAATAAAATATAAAATCTCGAGAAGAAACGAGCAGCCATACCAAATGGTATGGCTGCTCGTTTAAACAATACCAATGTAATCGACAGGTTTGGGGTCAAATACATTTGATTAAACACAAATACAAATATGTTAATTTTAGATTCCCAAATACAAATTCAAATATTTGTATTTTAGGTTAAGAAAAAAATATATATTTTTTCAACTTAATACTGATAAATAAATAGATACTAACAAATAAAAGAGGTCCTTTAATAAATATAAATTAAAAACGACTTTTAAAAATTATTTTAGTGTTAGAAATAAAATAAAAAAATTATTTGTGACAATAAAAAACAACATATCGCTTAGTTTATTCTAAAAAAAAAAACGCTAGTCTAAATACATTTCAATCAAATACAAATACAAACATTTAAAAAATCAAATACAACATAAATACAAATTCAATAATATAGCCTATTTTATGGTTTTGATCAAATAAATTGTCCGTAAATTTATAAAGTTCAAAATATACTTTCTTCCATCATTTTTATGACAAGTTTTTGAAACAAAATTGAGTTAGGTATACATAGGTATTGCATGAATAAAATATGACGTTAACTCAAACTGTCTCTTATACCAATCTCTTATACCAGCTGCATTAACTCATAAAACAATTTGACTTTTTGTGTGTGGAATTTCAAAACTTAATAAACTTTTATGTAAACTCTCACTAATGTTTTGTAACTTTCTGAAAAATACATAACTCTGAGTACTGCTCTTTGTTGGAAAAATTCTTTTTTTTTTATTATTACAATATTTATTTTGCTGTTCATATAAAAATAAATAATAAAATTTCAATAAAAAATTTTAAATTACACAAAGAATATATATACAAGCAGATAGGGGCTCAAAGAAGATACGGATGACAGGTGTCACCACAATCTTTTCATAGAGTCCCTTCGGGCTTTAAATAACATTTAAAGCCCAAATGGTTTGAATAGGTTTACAGTAAAATATTTTTTGTGAAAAACACTTTTAAAATCTTTGAGTATTTTATTTGCGAATGATACTATTTTATTTTTTATATCTAATAACAATATTAATAAACTCTTTGCTATTATAAATGAAGAACTCAAAAATATTTTTAGCTGGTTCAAGTGCAATAAACTTACCTTAAACAGTAACAAATCAAAATCGATTCTTTTTTATTCGATAACTTAAAACGTTATTTACCCCCTGATTACTACCTGATAATTTTATTGACTAAATTGAAATAAAAAAAAGATAGCGCATCAAAATGTTTAGGCGTATTCCTTGATGAAAACATCACACAGAAGCAACATACTGATTATGCTGGTACTAAAGTTTGTTCATAATAACAGAATCCATATAAATAAAAAAATTTAAGCTCAATTTTGTTTTGCATTTATTCATAGCTATATAAATTATGCAAATCTTGCTTCGGCAAGCGCTGAAAGTTACTCTCTCTATCGCCGTCAAAAACATGCAATACGTGTAATTAATTTTGCTGATCGTTTTTCTCACTCTAAGCAACTTTTTTTTGAAATGAGAATGCCTAATATTTGTGAACTCAATATTTTAAATATTTAATGCTTTTTATATATATGTAAAAATAATTCTTTCTTCTACCGTTTTCAACGATGAAACCTACCAATCAATACTCTCTAAGAAATACCAACCTTCTATCTACGCCGTTTTGTTAAACAAGTTTTAAACAATTTTGTATTTGCCTAAATTTGATTTTGATATACCTACTTCTTCGCATCTTTTCAATATTAAGCTGAAAAGTCTTTTACATTCCCATATTATCAAAAATTGACAATAATATTTATAGGAAATATTTATGAAACTTCATTAACTATACTATTAAGTGATGTGTGTATGTATGTATTATTTTATTATGTTGTACTTATAGTTAATTTATAACCTTTTATTTTTTTATTTTATTTTGTTAACACTAGCATAAAGGTGTGACGATCTTATTGAACTTCTTTCAGATACTTTGTTTTTCAAATGTTAGTAGTATTTACTTTATAAATTACTTTAATGGAAGTTAATGGAAAAATAAGACGATTAGTCTTATTTTATAAAAGAGAGTAAAATACAATTTAATAATAATTTACTATAATTATTAATAATTATAATTAAATATATATATAATTAATAATTATATATAAATTATATGAAATTTATATTCGTAATAATAATACAAATATATTATTATATGTCTATATATATTTATATATATACATATATATATCAATATATATATAATTTAAATATTATATAAACTATATATACTGTTGTTTAAACATATTTACGCTAAATGCCTCCAAAAGCCGACAATTCTGAGTTGAATAACAAGTATGAGACGCTTCTAAAGCAAGTAGAAGCGTTATCAAAAACAGTTGTTGAACAAACATCGACGATCATCGCCCTCACAAAGCGAATCCAACAACTTGAGGAAAAACCTATTGCTTCCTCAACTACAACGGAAACATGGAACTTTGTGGTCGGAAAAAAATCAACTAAAACGCCAGCTCAACTAGATATGCTTAATTGTGTAGCTAATGAGAACAAAGATAGAATGAAGCGTGACAAAAATCTTATCGTCTTTGGCATTCCAGCATCGACTAAAAAAGAACCTAACGAGAAGCAAGTAGACGATGAGAACAAAATAAAAGAGCTTCTAACCAACGTTAAAATTAATTCGGACAACATAATAAAATGTTTTCGCTTACAGTCAAAAGATCCGAATAAACCTCCACCTATTATAGTTGAGACGACAGACACTGTCACCAGAAACAATATTGTTAAAGCAGCCCGGCGTAAATTTGAAAGCATCTATGTTAATCCAGATCTGACAGAAGCACAAAGAAGACAAGATAGACAATTACGAGACGAGTTGAAAAAGAAAAACGAGCCTCTTAATTTAAAAAACAACTGGGCAAAGACAAGTCATTACTACGTTATTCGTAATAATGCTGTAGTTAAAGTAGACAAATAGCAATCAACAGTAAGTAATTTAAAACCATATAATGACAATTTAAATATAAACAAAATTTCTTTAGAGCGAAAGTCATTTTCAACTATTAGTCTACTACAACAGTCAGCTTTCCATAAAATACCATGCTGTTATACCAATGCTACATCTCTTAACAATAAAATGCCAGAGTTTCTAGCATCAATTGAGACATACAACCCTAAAATAATCTTTGTTACAGAAACTTGGTGGTATGAATCATCGATAACTAACATTGAAAGCTATATGTTATTCAGAAAAGATCGCGTGTCCAGTAGAGGAGGTGGGTTGGCTATTTATGTCGACACTTCATTAAAACCTAATGAAGTAAGCGAAATTGTTTTATTAGATTCCCCTGAACAAATTTGGTGCGAGATATCGTACGGTTCCGAACACATCCTTCTGGGTTGTATATACAGGCCACACACGCTAGATCCACTCGAGAATATTGAAGCGTCCATTATTAAAGCGAATGAACTTCTGTCTAAAATATACAGCGGCTTGTTGATTTGTGGAGACTTTAATTTGCCAGGGATTAACTGGGATTTGAGCAGTATCCCAACTGTCAGCAACACAGATATCCTTTCAAGTAATTTTATTGACATCCTCGCCGAGTCGTTTTTGATACAATTTGTTACTAAGCCCATATTTCAACTTGATGAAATTACATCGAACAATACTCTTGATCTAATTATAGCCGAAAATGAAAATCGGGTCCTCGATATTATTCACCATGCACCTTTAACGTCTCTGAAGAAATCTCACCACGTCCTTCAATGGGATTACGTTGTTAAAAGCGCTGCAGTTGTAGGAAAACACATTAAAAAACGCGTTTATCATAAAAGTAACTTTGTAAAGATATCCGAATATTTTAACAATATCAACTGGCAGATGGAATTCAATGGACACAATACTGATGACTGTTATAACATTTTCCTAAACCACTACGAGGCTGCATGCAAAAATTATGTCCCAGTGACTAACTTAAAATGGATTCGTCGTAGAAGTGAATGGATGAATGATGACATCAAAAATAAAATAAAAGCTAAAAATAAACTATGGTTTCGATGTAGAGCGAATGGATATAAAAATCTTAAACTAGTCAACGAATACAAAGCGTGTAATATTCAATTGAAGAAGCTCATATATAAAGCTCGTTGTGAGTTTGAACTTGATTTAGCGATAAAATCAAAGCACAACCCAAAGATCCTGTTCAAGTATGTTAATAGTAAACAAAATGTTAGAACTACAATAACAGCCTTAAAAGGAATCAATGGCGACACTATCACAAATCCAATAGAAATTGCAAATCGGCTGAACAATCACTTTCAAAGTGTTTTCAACAAAAATGAAGACGATGAACTGCCATATTTTATAAAACGAACTGAAGCCATCTGCAAATACTCGCAAATAACGCTAGATCTGGTTAAAAACAAGCTGAGCAATTTATCAGTTGACAAAACCGTTGGTTTGGATGGTGTAAGCGCATATGTACTGAAGAACTGTTCTGACAGCTTCTCAATACCTTTAAGCGCAATTTTTCAGAAGTCGCTAGATAGTGGGTGTTGTCCTAAAGTATG